CAGATTAAATAAAATTGCTTTTGAAAAGAACAGCCTAGTTATTAAATACAATATTTTATTACATTAATTACATTACATTAATTAAATCTTGTTAAATTGTTTTGATGCTTTGTGTATAAAATAAATTGACATTCAGGAGGCTACTGTAATGGCAAAGTTTCCCAATATAACCATTAGTTTGCCAAGATGTATCAACAAATTGGTTAGAAGGATTTAGAGCCTGAAACAAGCAGATTCATGTTATTCTCTATTATAAAACAAAATCTCAATTTCTAAAGAATTTGTCCAGAATTTCTAAAGAAAGTTTAGAAATAAGCTAATTTTAGGAAGATATAGGATATGACAGTCTATCCTCTCCACAACAAATTCTTCTTTAAGTGTTAAATAGTATGGTAGTATATGAATTTAAAACTCTCAGTACTTGAACATTTATTTTTGATAATTCCCACAATTAAATTAACATTTAAAAGTAAATATTCTTAATTTCAACCTATGCTTCTCAAAGTGAGGTTCAATACATGCTTTGTAAATTGACAGTATTTACTTATACTAGACTAAATTTGTTCAAAGATACTTCAATATCTAATTTTGTATTGCTATAATTTACTTTTTCATTAATCAGACTCAGAGGAAAAAGTTAAAAGTGTTGGCAAATACTTAAAGCGAGTATTTGTATATAGTCACAATATATTTCCAGCATGTTTTCTGAGGTCTCTGGTGCACATTTTCAATGTAATGAGCAAAAATGTTTGGGAAATAAGTTTTTTTCCTGAAGTTTTGCCAGGTCAGGGTTTAGTGGAACAAAACAGGAGCTTTTAACCTTACTAAAGCTAAAGATATTCAGCTTACCCTTAAAGCTCTGATCCTGTTTTAACAATTTTGTGGAATAGTAAGGGAGTAAAGCATACATTATACCTTTTAAAATGTCTTAAAATAGCTGTATGTAGCTGTATCCTGCGAAATCATATCACAACCTATACCTCCTGAGAAATCGGGGGTTTCAGAAAAAAATTGTATTATGATCCCCAAGTTTCAAGAAAAAAATTAACCTTTTCTATTTTGTAAAAGTAGTTCCAATGGACAGAAAAATATTAGTTTAGTGATTGCATTCCATTCCAACAACTTGGAATGGAACAACTCGGCCGAAGAGGTTGCAAAAAAAAAATGCTTTTAGAAGCCTCTGACGATCCCAGCTGAGCCGCACGATCATCAGAGGCTTTTTTTTTTAACTTTTAAAAGCATTTTTTTGACTGAAGAGGTTGTAGAAAAAATGCTTTTAAAAGAGGGGGGGGAAAGCCTCTGATGATTGCACGGCTCAGCTGGGCATGGGAGGGGGCAGGGATTTTTGCCACCGGTTCTTCAAACTACCCACCGTCATTGCTACCGGATCGGGTGATCCGGTCCGAACCGGGAGCATTTCACCCCCGGCCTTGTCCCAGCCACATGGGATAGAGCAGGCGTGTGATCCATATCACGTGCCTCACCTGCCCCCGCCCCTCTGCCTGCTGCCGGTGCAAGTGCTGCCACCACCTTGCCTGTTTCTTGGAGGGCCAGCTGTGGAGTCCCTGCTGCCAGACAGGGACCTTGCAGTCCCTGGCTGTCCGCCACGCCCTCTGGCAGCCGCCGCAGGTGAGGCACCTCTTCCCCGGGCCCCTGTCAGCCAGGAAAAGCCAGCCATGCGAGGAGTGGGTAGGAGTGGTAGGGCGGGGGACAGGGCGGGGGGCAGGGCTGAATCCCACCAGTGCACAGGCCGGATACATTGTGTCAGCGGGCCATACCCGGCCCGCGGGCCATAGTTTGAGGACCCTGGGGTAAGGTCACTGAGGGGAAATAGTGTCACCTGTGTCCATCTGAATTTGACTTTCAATTCACACCTCAAAAATAAGCCTTCTTTAATTTTAAACCAGAATTACCCAATGTCTGCTTAACAGCAGAATAAAAGAAGTCTAATAAAAATCAGGATTATCATGCTGCAGTAGAACAGGAAAAAAGAGTAAGAAGATGATCAATCACATTACAGAGCCTCAAATCATTGTCTGAAGCAGGTCAGTGTTTTAGGGCTTCAGAAATAAATTCTTATTACAATGATACAATGATATGTGTACAAACTTCATAGTAAAACTAGCTCCTTATCTCTTATACCCCTAATTAGTATAGTTATATTATCTAAAAGTGAAGGCTTCTCCTCTTTACAGCTGTAGTTTCTTTCAACAAAAGACTACTTGCATATTTTAACATTCTCCCTTCATACCTTTGCAGATATCCCAAACGTTTGAATTTTTTGAGATAATGTTTATTTATACACATATCTGAAAGCTTAGGAGGTATTTTTAAGTGCATCTGAAAAACAGTGTTATGGTCAAATACTACAAAGCTTCAAAATTAACCACCCCTCTTGGTTTCCTTAACATTTGATTGATAATATATAATATTAGTGAAGTGGTATAAGATACATTTTATGCTGAAACCCATTAAATATACTTGATTCACATTCAAAAATGTTTAATCAATGTTACAATATTTGCAATATGTATAAGCAAATAATGTCCTATACAGTAGTTATATGTTTCTTAGGAGGCTCATTCAATTTCATTGTACACATGTTGTGCATTGACAATAAAGGTTTGATTTGATTTGACTTAGAATTTGGATACCTGTTGAAGTACTTGCACTATACATATTAGTTCATCAATTAACACCAACAGCTTTGACAGTTTCAGATGTTTCTGTGGGGTGGTGGGATTTTTAAGTACCAACACTATGGACATAGAAGACCTTTATAAGTTCAGTTAGAATTGGTTCTAAATCTTAGGCCTTTTATCATTATTTAAAATGTGTTACTAAATTAGTAGATATTAGTTTTTAAAATTCCTAGCCATGGTGGGATTTCAAATTAGAAATTATGTAAATAAAAAAACTGCTAAAGATACGAACCATATTAAAAACTGAAAAGGACTTGCTTTTTGACTTGTTCAGAAACAGATTTTTAGAATAAAGTATGTATTTTTGCTTTTTAACAATTTCATTTTTATAAAACCATCATTTTTTGGCATTGTTTTCTAATATAATTAGAAAGTTTTCTATGTCCACCTAGTCTCTAACTATATTTTAGTTATTTGCCCTTCAGTAAGTTTATTCCATTGAAAATATTCCTCAAATACAGTGGATATGGAAAGTCTATACACAGGCTTTTGAGATTAAAAAAAATCAGACCAAGTTAAATCACTTCAGAATTCTTTCCAGCTTTAATATAACATCTAAGCTGTAAAATTCAGTTGAAAAACAAACAGATCTTTTAGGAGAAAAATAATAATAATTTTTTAAAAACCAAAATAATGTGGCTGTATAAAAATGCACACATTTAAACTAATGTTTTGTTGAAGCACCTTTTGACTTTATGAAAACATTCAGTCTTTTGGAATAGGAGCCTATCAACATGGCACATCTAGCCTTGGAATTTTTTACTTGCCTTTCTTTGCAAAAGCATTCCAAATCTGTCAAATTGCCAGGGAAATTTTCTCAGCCCTCTTCAGGTCACCCCATGGATTTTCAATTGGATTCACATATGGGCAGATTCACTCCAAACCTTTAATCTTCTTACGGTAAAAGCCATTCTTTTGCTGATTTAGAGGTATGCTTTGGGTCATTGTCATGCTGAAAACTGAAAATCTGCTTCATTTTAGCAGATGACTGAAGATTTTGTATCAATCTTGACTGATATTTGGAACTGTTCATAATTCCTTCCACCTTGAATAAAGCCTCAGTTCCAGCTGAAGAAAAGCAGTCTCAAAACATAATGCTGCAACCACCATGCTTCATTGTGGGTATGGTATATTTTTGGTGTTTTTGCACCAAACATACTTTTTGAAATTATGGTCAAAAAGTTCAGCCTCGGTCTCATCAGACCATAATACGTTTTCCCACATGCTTTTATCTGGCTTGATATACAGTAGTTTGTTTTGTAAACTGTAGCCAGGAATGTTGTTTAGGAAGAAAAGACTTCTGCCTTGCCACCCTGATCCGTAGCCTATATATATGAAGAATATCAAAGATTGTGGTCACATGGGGTATACAACCAATATTTGCTAGAAATTACGGCAGCTCTTTTAATGTTGCTGCAGGCCTCTCTGATCTTGTTTTTCATTCATTTTGGCGGAACATCTCATGTTACTTATGTTACTTATGCCTATTTCCTCTAGTTGATGATGACTGTTTTCACTGTGTTCAAATGTATGTCTAATGCCTTGAAAAAAAATTGTATCATTATCCTGACTGATACTGTCCAACAATGAATGATAGACAATGGCTTTTCCTGTAAGAAGCAACTGAGAATAAATAAATGTCAGAAAAATCCTACTAGAACACCTGAACTTTATCTGGGCTTGATCAGAGTCACCTTAATTGTTGGCAGGTATATACTGACCAGTAGTTACTATCAGTTTGAATGTAATTATTAATTATTAACACAGTGACATCTCTACTTATAAGAGAGTTTTTTAGTTTTTTATTGTTATTTCTCACCTAAAAGATTTCAGTTTGTTTTTCAACTGAATTGTACAACTTACATTTTATATTAAAGATGGAAAGAATTCTGAAGTAATTTATCTTGATGTGACTTTTTTACATCTCAAAAACCTAGCATTTTAAAGAAAATTGCATCATTGAATTAAATCCAGATCATGTTTGTTGCATTTTTTCTACTGTTCAATTATGTCTGATTCACATGGACATTGCTAGACCACTGAAATTAATGAGATATAAGTTAGCATTCATTATTTTCTTAAATAGATTTCAATGGAATTAAATATAACCAAGCTTATATAGGATATTATGCATTGATATAGTATATTAAAAATACATAGCAAGTCATCAGCACCTGCATAATGTTTCAAAATTAATGCAGAGAGAGAGAGAGAGAGAGAGAGAGAGAGAGAGAGAGAGAGAGAGATTGATTCCTGTTTCTAATGTCATCAAATCATGCTTTTAATGTTCTATTTTAGCTCCACATGCAGGGGTTAGTCCAGCAGAATACTACCATCAGATGGCTTTACTGGCAGGCCAGCGCAGCCCATATGCAGACATCATTCCTTCAGCTGCCACAGCAGGAGCAGGTGCCCTTCATATGGAATATCTCCACGCTATGGAAAGTAAGTAATATAATTGTAGCCAAAAAGATTAAATAAAGGTTCTGGTATTGTTGAGGGTAAAAAAAAAATACTATACAATTCACTACATAATAAAGTGTATATGAAAACAGATTAAAAGGTCATTAAGTAGGGTTACCAGATTTGGAGTGGAAAGATCCAGACAAGCAGAAGATGTCAATAAAGGGTTAGAACTTTCTGCATCTTTTAACTGCCATCTATTTTCTGGATTTAGCACTCCAGGTATGATAACCCTTTGTTAAATATTCTTATTATGAATTAAGTACTTCAGTTTTAAACAACTAATTTGAAGTATTTCACAACATAGTATTCTTGTTAACTTTAGTAATGGTAATATTGATTATCTTTAAGACACCAAAAGGGGAGCTCAGATGTTTCTTTGTGAGCTGTATCATCTTTCATTATTATTCTTTTCCATAATCCCTGCATGCATTTTAGTACAATATATTGCACTTTAAAGAGTTTGTGAGCAAAACATCTATTTTTTACTCCAAGATATTTATTTTAACGTTTAATTTATATTAATTTATTTTAAAGTGCTTCACGAAAGCACAAAATGGAAGCTGACATAATAATCAGTCTTTTCAGCCTTGCATTTCATACATATATAGATACGTATATTCATATTTTTGCAGGGGCAAAGAAATATCAGAGTAGGATTCATATTCTAATACAGAACATTCATAAAATGAATACAAAGATAAAACCAGAAACTTTTCTTTGGGGTTTAAAAGTACTTTTGTCTCTACTTGGAAACTGTTTCTGGACTTTGTGCTTAAGGTGGGAAAAAATGAAACATTTTTGGGTTTTTGTATATTTTTCTCTTCCCTTTTCCTTCCCCTATTTTTCCTATTATTTGCTTTTGTATTTTTGTATTTTATATTATAAATTAATAAAAAGAAATAAATTTAACAAATTTATGCAGGGGATATTAGCCATTTTAATTACATTTTGGGAGTTGTGCATATCATTTTGATGAAAATTAGGCACCATAGCGTTTGCACTGTCTAATATTCTTCAGAACGATTCACCTTGTGAAAACATGTCCAAGAACATCAGTTACAATCAATCATTTCATCATAATGCATTTCAGAGCACTATATGGTTGCAGCTCAGTGGTGCAATGGACACCACTAATCACCTCAGGTAGTTTTGCTCAGAAGATATTGTGCTTATATTTCATGGGCAGTCACTCTGTCATGCTAAATTTCCTTGTCTTGAAAATGACCAAACTGGTTTTGAAGAACTCCTTAATATTGTCCTGAGCTGTTATTGAACTCCCTTTATGTGTTACTCTATGTCTGTTGTTCAGGCATATCTTTTGCATTATATTTTCATCAAAGCTTGATTTTTTAGCCTCTACCTCACCCCCATCCTGGCCTTTCACTTGACTGAATAAATCATTCCCTGGTCTTTCATAAGGCAATGTGTGTGAAGTCATGATAGCTAGGGTGCTATTTTATAAACAAACAGACCATTAAACAAAGAAATAAATGTGGAAGAGAATATCTAGAAATTTGCTGAGAACCATAAAACAGCTCACTTTATCACTGTACCTCTTTATTATATTGGCTGGTAAGGCAGCCAATAATAGAAACTTAATATCTAATGTCCAAATCTTCAGAAAGATTAATCAGTTTAATCTTTTTTTTTTTTTTTTTTGATCAGACACAATCTTTCATATGTGTCTAACAGGCAGATCTCACCACAGTTGTGACTGGAATCTCAGTTGTTGAGGAAGCAGACTTTAAGCAAGGTATTATGTGACTGCTTCACTCAACAACCATAATCCCGGCACTCCTGGTTGTGGTTGTTAAATGACCTTATGGCTTAAATGGATGGAGTCCCAGGTAAGGAGTGTGGGTTGCTTCACAGAGATGGAAGAGATCTAGTGTAGGCTGGATGTGAATGTCTCTTTGCTCATGAGCTGCAATCCTCTCTGCTGAAATCCTAACAGGATTTTCAGCTCTGAGCAGAAAGATACTTGCATGTAGCCTCCTCTGAGCCTCTCCCACTCCTCTGGGGCATCCTGCACTCGTTACCTTACTGTACTGTCTCTCTGTTCAGCAACTGAAAATCCGCCAGGCCTCCCAATCCCTCTAAGGCGCCCTAGGGTTTTTACCTTATTGTACTACCTCTTTCCTCAAGGACTGAAAAACTGCTTGGATTTCAGTTCCCTCATTCTCTGGTAGCTGTCTGAAACAGCTTGCTGCTGAAGGATTTCAGTTTCATGTCTTCTTGGATTTTAGCAAGGAGTTCATTCACTCAGAGGCAGAAGGGCTCCCACTTGTTTCTAGGGGCTGGCTGAAAGAATTCCCTGCCAGGATTTCACCTTTTTTGGATTTTGCATTGACCTTTTTTAGCCAGCTCTCAGAGATGAGAAAGATCCTGTTAGTAAGAGCAGCAGATTTCCCTTCCAGATTCCCCATTGACTTTCTGGGGATGCTGGCAGAGAAGATTACCAGTCTAAATCATGTGATAATCGGATACTTAGCAATCAGTTATAAGTGCAAACAGTTTGCCAAGCATCCAGATTGCAATCATATGACCCCCTCCCCCCCCCCTTGGGATATGTGCAACATTTTGTAAGGGTCTGAAGTACCTTGAAGGCCATTAAATCATACTTTAGAGGCCATTGTTAATTCGAATCATCATTAAACAAACAAATGGTTGTAAGTCAAGCAGAACCTGTCCTTCATGAACATTAGTATCTTGATCTTCCCCTCACTCTCCCATCTGATGTATATTTTGCTGTTTCCACAGTAAAAATGTAAGCTCAAAGTTTACAATACAAAGTTTACAATACAGAAGAGAATTCTCTGAGTGCTATTTATAAATTTTATTCTGTCATGAAAATGTGCTCAGCAAACTTCTTCTAAGAAACATAATTATTAATTGCATAGGGACACCAGATCATGCCTGCAAAGAATCTTAGATTAACTAGGTGACAGCAAACAGATCCATAAAACTTTGTTAGCATCTACTGCAGTAGTTGTCTAGATATTGGCAGCTCAGATCTGGTAGCCCTTAAATTCATACATAATGCCATAAACCAGTGGTTCTCAACCTTCCTAATGCCACGACCCTTTAATACAGTTCCTCATTTTTTTACTACCGGTTCTGTGGGCATGGCTTGGATGTCATGTGACTGGGTGGGCATGGCTAGCTGGTCATGTGACCAAGTGGCCATGATTATGATTATGTGCCATGATTATGTGTATAGGGACTACTCAGAGGGCTGAAAAAAGTGATTTCTGACAGGTCCTTACACTTTTAACCGGTCCTCGTACTTATGACTGGTCATCATTTATGCCCATTGTAGCTTTCTTAACAACCATGTCACTCATTTCACAACTGCTTCTCTTCACCATGGTGACAAGATAGGGAGAAAAACGTAAAATGTGAGGACAGTCATAAGTTCAAGGACTGGTCAAAAGTGCGAGGACCAGTCAAAAATAATTTTTTCAGCCCTCTGAGTAGTCCATATGCACAAAAGGACTACCTAGAAGGCTGAAAAAAGTGATTTCTGACAGGTCCTCACAAATCAAAGATTTCTGAGACCAATGGTGAATACTTAAATTTCAGTAGTCACCAAACCCAGTCTTAAAATGAGTTTAGAATCAATGGGAGTCACTGATAACAATGAACTAACTAGCTACTGATAATGAGTCCAGTCCTGCCTTTCTGTTCCTTTTCTCCAAGTTTTGCAAGTACTTTTTCCAGGTATATGTTTTATTCCAAAGCATACAAACCATTATTGTTAGGGAAAAAAAGGGGCTTCCAAGCAATTTTATAGAGCCTTGGTAGTACAGTGGTTTAATGCACCCTGTTATTAACACAGCTGCCTGCAATTTCTGCTGGTTCGAATCTTACCAGGCTCAAGGTTGACTCAGCCTTCCATCCTTTCTAAGGTAGGTTAAATGAGGACCCAGTTTGTGGGGGCAATACGCTGACTTTGTATAAATATACAAAAGTATGAAGGCTATTGCTTAACGCATTGTAAGCCGCCCTGAGTCTCCGGAGAAGGATGGCATATAAATCAAATTAAAAAAAAAAAAGACACTGTCAATAAGGCTCTGCTCTCAGCCCCCCTTGTGGCTCCTTGAAAAGCATCCCCCCCCACATATGTAAACGAAAAGAATAAGCTTAAAAATCCTAGTCTTTTAAAATTGAAAATATGGAAAATTGGGAGGATGAATTTGAGACACTAAGGGAGATATTTCAAAAAATAAAGGAGGCATTTAAGGGAAATAAAGAAGCAGAGAATTGGTTAGCTTGCAAAAAAAGAAAGAGAAAAGATGAATGAGAAGCAAGAGAAACAAGGAGATAATATTGAAAAGGAAATAATTGAAAAAAAGATAAAGATGATTACACTGGGTTCAATAGGAAAAATGGAATAAGATGAAATATACTGCTAATAATTAAAAAGATGAGGGGAAATTTTGAGAAATATACTTGATAAATGAAAGGAAGACTGGGGTTGCCTGGACTCCATAGTGGAAAATATAAAATTGAAAATGAATACAGCAATAGAAAGGGATGAAAGAAGGAGAAGAGAGATGGAAGAAGGAAGGAGAGAGAGGGAAGGAAGAGAAGGGAGGGAGGAAGGAAGGGAAGGAAATTAGAGTAAGAGTGAGGGTAAGAGAGGGAGGAAGAGAGGAGGAGAAGGAGAAAGGAAGAGGAAGTAGGGAGGAGAAGAAGGGGGGGAAGAGAAAGTAAGAAGGAAAGAAAAGAGAGAGGTGGTAGGTTTGAGGAGAAAGATTGCTGTACAATAAAAAAGATGAAAGGGAAGAAAGACATCCCCAAACAAATATAAAGATATTAAGATAAAAATGAATTGTTAAACTTTAAAGAATAAAAGAGAACAAATATGAATAAATAGCAATAATTAGAAACACACGTACAAACATACAATGTATTTTCTTTGAACAGAGTATTTGGCTGGTTCACAAATTTAAACAGTGTTTAGTCATTTCAATTAA